CATATATATATATATATATATATATATATATATATATATGTATGTATATATATATATATATTAAGCTGGTGAACGCATCGCAGATGTGATATGATATGGTGCACATACAGGGCAATGAAATACGCGATTGAGGTTTAAGAATAATATAGGATAAACTAGGTTTATCCTAACAGGTTTGGTAGCACTTCGAGATCATCCTGTTTGAATTCAGGCTGTAGTATCTATGGACTCAAACTCGAAGATCGTTCATTTTTGAGCTTCAGTTTGTATTTAAGGCTCGCTCCAGGATAAATAAAGAGGGCCAGAGATGCCATTATAAGAAAGGGAGTTACCGTGAATAATATGCAGCCAAAGTGGCATAGCCCAACGAAGTGAAATGACGAAGGTGCCTTTCTTGGAATATTTTGTGGTCTCAAATGTGTATTTTATTAGTGTATTTTCACTGAATGCGTAGCGCCTGTATTAAGTGTAAATATGTAGATTGTAGAGTCCCTATTACTTTTATTGAACTTGAAATCTGTCTGGAACGCTTTTTTGCGGAAGACTTTTCCTTATTTGTCAGCCCCGATAAGGCCCCCGAGGGATCCTACATGGACTATTTGAAGAAGAAGAAAAAGGCATACTTTTAGCGAAGCGGGGGGGGGGGAGGGGTGGGAGGAGTTTCTCATCCGCCCTGCGCGGAGTGATTCACAAGTTATTTTATTATTACTATAGGCATTTAGTATCTGCGGCACCACGTCCTCTATTTAACTGATTGTGTAAATACCTCTCGTTGTCTGAATGTTCATTCGTCGCGTTTATTTAGTGATATTTATGTTTTTTTTGTTTACCTTTTATTAAAAAATATGGGGTTTTTTTGAAACTTGAAACTGGGCTGACCACACCGGTGATAAAATTTAGATTACAAAATGCCTGGAGCCTGGTAAGACTGCGTGGCTATTGGTCAATAGGATTTTAAATATATAACCGGTGGGTTTTAGGGTTTTTCAAAATTACTTCAAAAAATTAGAAATAAATTTCTACATGCCGCTCATTTGCTCTTAATTTATTCCGGTTTCTGACTGTTCAATTTAGAAGGCTATGGTTTTTGATATATTGCTGAGTATCAAATGGTTCCTGCACCCAGGCTCCCAACCATTAGGAGTGCAGTATATTAATAAACTCAGTTTCTTTCAACAGGATTTTTGAAGATGTTTTGACAAAATTTGCATAAATAGCCTTCTAAATGTTCAATTTGTTTATAGAGAGGGCTAAATATGAAATTTGGGACCTAAATATGTAGTCAAACTAGATTTTGGGGTTTTTTTTAAAAACAAACTGCCATTCAAATTTAGGGTGAATTTTTACGTATTTTGAAATTTGTTCAAAAAAATAGTTTTGACGAGCAAATTTTGAAATTTTATCATCGAAGTGGGATCAGACTACAATCTACATATCAGTAATTACAAGACAGAATAAATCTTATTCCTGAAGAAGTGTCTATTATATTTTGGAGTCATATATAATCATATATGTAATAATAATAGCATTAAATATATTCTGATGTGTTTGTACAAATGTAAATAAGTTTTGTAAACTTAGTTTACTTATATAAATTATGGTTGCGATTCTAAAAACTTTGTTTTTAGCCCAAAACCCTCCCGGAATCGTCAACATGTCAGTGAAGTGTCATAAATGAATTTCCAAGAAATTCGTGCTGAGGTCAAGGGAGAGACTTGGTACGATCAGCAATATTATCACTAGTGTTGACGTAGATGATATCTATAATGTTATTGCGAACGCAGTCGCGTATATAGTGTGTGTTTATATCAATGTGTTTCAACCCTTCTTAAAAGCGCTCTGGTTATCGCAGTGTAGGACTGTTGGTAGCAGAAGTGTGTGACCCATGGCATGAAGAATGTTGCGAGCCCAGGCAATGTGGCGTATGGTTTCGGAGGTGGCGACATAATCCGCTTCTGTGGAACTAAACGCAATCTTTGCAAGTTTCGGTCTAATTAACACCTTAGAGTAAATAAACGCTTAGGTTACATTTTTTTAAAAGTTAATAAACGAAATGATTCTTTTAGTTAAGTTAGGTATGCCTCGTGAAAACAGCAATACTCTGAGGGATTGAGAGGCTGAGACATCGCCTATATATAATCCTCTCAGTACTGTTTTCGCCGAAGGGATTTTATTTAGTGTTTCGTTGGCGCTCTATAAGGAACTATGGTAAATATGTTTCGTTGTGGCGAATCCGAGAGACTCATAAAATCCTATCTTTAGAAAAAAACATTGATAGTGATTCTATAAAAAAAAACAATCGTAGTGAGGTCGAAGGACAATCACTAAATATTTACTCAATAATTCACTACTCACACTCTCGAGTACCGACTCTCGACTCTCGACAATCCAGTATCCACACTCCGACAAAAAATATTTGATTTGTTTAAAAACAAAAACCAGGATGCAGATAGGTTATTTAAAAAAAACCCCCGGTATTCACGAAATATGTCTATTTTCTTCAAAACTATATATATATATTTAATTTTATTACAAAAAACAAATATGTATCATATGTAAAAGAATATGTTTTTTGTTTAAAAAAATAATATGTAACTGTAAATATTTAGTTGTTTGTTTTTGACCTTTGTTAAAAAAATTTAAAAAGGCAAAAGACCATCAAACATAAAAACAATAGCAGACAACATAAAAACAATAGCAGACAACATAAAAACAATAGCAGACAACATAAAAACAATAGCAGACAACATAAAAACAATAGCAGACAACATAAAAACAATAGCAGACAACATAAAAACAATAGCAGACAACATAAAAACAATAGCAGACAACATCGCAGAATCCCACCTTGCTTGCGGTAAATGTGGCACGAAGGATTACAACAACGCAACGTGCCCGGAAATCAAGCTCAAATATAAAATTAGCAACATGGACGGCCACAACGATGTGTGTTGCAGCCGTCGTTCAAATGAAAAGAATATCAATTACTTGACCATTTCTTTTATTGCTAAGATTACTGTCACTACAACCGGCGATGCGTCCTATCTTCTGATCGATGGAGGCACAACCGTTAAAAACCTTCACTATTCATCTCGTTTATTTCTACGCCGAATTGAAACTGTAAGATTCGGTCTATCAAGACGATATCAACGCTTTAGAGTAATTAAACGCTAAGGTTAAGTCTAAGTTTAGCGAAATTCGAAATAAATAAACGAAATGAGTCTTTAATAAAGTTAGGTATGCCTCGTTGTAGAAATACAGCCTCCGGTCAGTCTAAAATATCAAGATCAATTGAGATAATACATTGGTTTTTATTTGTATTTTAAATAATTTAATACAAGCTC